AGACTCCAATTCCCTTCAACCTCAACCAGTGTAACTGGGAATTATATTCTAATTATTTGGAAGGCCACACTGCCATTAAAGAAGCTGCAAAGTTTGGCTACCATAGCTTCTCTGCTTTGAAATTTGTAGTTTTCTTTGAGACAAATGCTGAACCTTGAGCCCATCTGTCAAGACTGGGCATGTGCAGAAATGACCATAGCCAAAGAATCAAGCAAACAATCAAAGGCTAGGGTAAATAAGGTAAAGAACATAATTATAGTGACAGACGTGAGAGTTTGACAAAATATAGAAGGGCCCTGCCAACATGTTGTGAGTTTCCCCAGGTCAATCTAGAATTACATTATTTACAGTCTTTGCATTAACATATGCCCAAAGAAAACAGGCACTTCTAGATTTGTCTGGGCCCATCTAAATGTGTTCAGAACTATAATATATGCCTTACATATGCGTACATTTTTGCTTGTGAACTTTGTCTTCCAAAATATTCATCGGCATTAGCTGCCTGTAAGAAATTCAACTATTTTACACTATACAGCTATAGACAAATAAGCATTCATTCAAACAATATTATTGTAAATTCCTTTTTTTAAAAAGTATTTTTTACTCTCCACAATCTGAAAATCCTTCCACATTTTTCCATTCTATACTTATGAATATGGATTGAAGGAATATTCTTTGTGAATGTTCCCTTAATGAAATTTAAACAAACTCTACTTATATAATCACTCCTTAACACTTAAAATGTTTTAAAATACTTAAAAGATATACAGCTCCCTACACATTGGAACACACAGTGGAAAAATAACTGATAATTCATAGATAACTACACAGCATTGTAAACTCTCAGCTTGCCGTAATTCACACTTGAATATCTATATATTTATAAGTGTGTAATAAATGGCTTGAAAGTTGGTAACAGAGCAACAACTGATTTCAGTGCCTGATCTTTAAATAACTAAATAACAAAATGTGATTTTTTTTCCTTTTTGTAATGTATCTCTATAATAGCAATAAAATAAAATTGGCATTGGAGAGTCCAGGCTCATTGCCTAACATGAATGGGCAAGAAGCTGGCACTGCATTTTCAGCGTGACTGCCTCTGTCAGAATAACAAGAGAGTAGATTTAAGAATCAAAGACCTCTGAATGATGAAATGACCCTGTAAAACAAAGCCACAGGAACATGGAAGTAATAATTACAATTTGGAAAGATTTAACTACTCAGCTGAGCGCAAGGGATGACTGTCCAAATAGTTTGTATCAAGAATTTTACAGTTATGTGCATTGCAACATAAACAAATGAAGTACTATGACAATTTTAAATTAACAAACATGTGGCAGAAGTTTTTGTAATGAAGCAGATTTTGGCCCCCAAGAGTGTGTATATTATCTTCACAGTGCCACTTGTTTTAGCTTCATTTATGTTATTCTTAAAATTATATTACTTATTCCCAAATTAACATTAAAAAACTATACCGAGGATCGGGAAATATTATTAAAGTATACAAATAAATTTAATAAAAGGAAAAAAAAACACATTTTCATGATATGAAAATTGCTAGTATAATACATACACTTTGTCTATTTATTTTGAGCATTACCTTCTCCCTCATTCCTATAAAATAATTTCATAAATATTTTGTGGGTAAAGTTGAAATTCACAGCAGCTTCTAAGAAAGAAGGGCAAAGTCTGTTTGGGTAAGAACATCCTAAGTAGGTGATTGTAATAAAAAGGAAATATAGGCTACAGGTAAGTGCAAAAAGTGGAAGGAATGAAAGTGAAGCAGGAAATCAAGATGAAATGAGACAGAAAATGGAGGAACAGATAAGCAGTGGTTGTCTGAACAAAATAAAAATATAAATATAAGAAGACAGGAGGAAACAGGGTTATCCACGGGCGGGGGAGGGTCAAAATAATCAAAGTGGCAGCTGCAACTGTGCAACTGAAGTACTATTCTATTTTTACATGACTTGCATGTGCAATACACATTAAAAAGAGGGCAGGCTTTGAACAGAATGATTGTGTCTGCCCTCTTGACTTTTTTGACACCCCTACAAATTCCTCTGGAAACAAAGAGGGAAAAAGAAATGACTAGATGACAGGACTTTAGAGCCTGGAGATAGCTCTAGGGAGGGAAGATCAGTATCTTATATATTTATTCCAACTAATTGGACCAGTG